AGCTGAGAAACCACGGACACTACTGACATTGGCTACTCTGGTCACACTCCCCCAACTCTAGAGGATCTGACATCCAAAACTGGTGTAGTGTTTGCCTGGCCTTTTTTTTAGACAGGGTCTTTGTAGTCCAGGCTGACCTTGAACTCGCTAGGTAGCCCAGGCTGGCCTTGAACTTGAACTGATGCTCCTGCTTCAGCCTTCTGAGTGCTGGGATCACAGGCTGCCTGGCTATCATCCTTTAAAGATCCATTTTCCCTTCTCGGTTACACTCCCACCTCAGTACCCCAGGGGCTGGCAGTAGAGTGTACCACCAGACCCAGCAGAAGCAGTCTTGGTTTAGGGTCTGCCTGCTGAACGGCTTGTAGACATGGACTACTACAATCAGCACAAGTCCAAGGTCCCTAACTGCAATCCCAGAAGAAGACAAAAGGGAAACTTCCTTTCTTAAGTAGGGGTGGGACAGACTCTTACGTAGTAGCCGACCACTGGCAACAAAAAGGATTAAACACCCTAATAACTGAACTCCAATTAAAGCCTTTGGGCACCTTGGGAAAAAAGTGAAGGTCTGAAGAAAAGGCCTTGTCAAAATTGCAACTGTAATTATACATTTTGAACTTGATCTAGGTGCTCCTGGAAGATGTGAGAGGTGCTAAATGATCCAGGAAAAGGGCCTTCTTTAGATAATCACATTTGCTGCTCAGACCCTTTTTCCAGATCCTCAACCCCACAGAACCCTGATCTCTCACCGACTGCATGGTTTCTTTCTTTCTGTCACTGGGATGAATCTGAGAGGTTCCTGAAGCTGGACTAATTTAACTTGCCCTCTTGTAGAGTAAGTTTGTAGAATTACTCTCATCTCGGAAAGAGAATTTTTATTTTTATTTTTTGGTACCAGGGATTGAACTCATGATCTTGTGCTTCTGAGGCAGGCAAGGTGCCATTGAGTTAAATCCCCAGCATCGAAAAGAGAATTTTTAGGACACATCTGTAAGAGGCCCGGGAGGGTTTATAAGGCAGAGATTTTAGGATGCACTCAAGAGAAGTGCAGGCACTCAGAGAAATTAGACACTATTTTTTCAAATAGGGAACATTTATGCTTCTCTCAAGGGTGGAAACTTCTGGAGAAGGTGGTCCACCCCCCAGAAGTGTGCTGGCCCATTTAATAGACATGGTGGTTTTTTGTTTTTTTCTGAACAGGTAATTTAAACATTCTTTGGATTCTCTCAACCTGTATCTTAGGATCAGGTTCCTGCTCTTTCTCAAGCCAATTTATGGACTTTCAGCACTCCTGAGGAATTTTGTGTGCAATGGGTCTGAAGGAAAGGAGCCTAAATTTAACCAAGGAACGCTGTGGGTACTGGCTGGGACCCAGAAGTTGCAGTCTTTTTAAAAGTATAATTTTTAGTTATAATTTTATCATCTCCTTTCTACCTATCTTTTATTTTTTCTATACTACCTCACTCCTTGTCTTTTCTACATTCCTTGTCCATTGGTAAATTTCTTCACCCTCCTTCCTTATGAAGTGACCTCTCCCATTTCAGGCTTTGGAGTGGGATTACTTTTAGAATATGATTTGGAAAAGTGAAAATACCTCATGCTTCTTTTACAGAGAAGATTTGCCTGATCTGATTTATGATTGGTTATTTATTAATGTAGTCATCAATTACTGATTGCAAACTTCATGCTCAGAAAAGTGCAAGGTCCTGAGGATGACAGTCCACTAAGAGAAGAATTTGTCAAACTGTGAATCTGACTCATTAATGGGATGTGAAATCACAACCAGAATTGGAAAAAAAAAAAAAAGAAAAGAAAAAGGGGGATGGGAAGAACAAGAAAAAAATAGGAGAGAACAACAGGATGGTGTTAGGTCCTAAAATTTTGTTTTAGTTATATCTGTATAACTGTGTGTGTGTGTGCTAAGTTCTCATTTAGGGTGTACTATTAGGGCCAGGGATTTAGCTCAGTGGCAATGCACCTGCCTTGCAAGTGCAAGGTCCTGAGTTCCAACCCCGGTACCAAAAAAAAAATTAAATACATAAAGTGTATTGTTGAGCAGAGTGTGGTGGTACACACCTGTAATCCCAGGTACTTGGGAGACTGCGGCAGGAAGATCTTGAGTTCGAGGTCAGATCAGTCAATTCATGTTTCATTTTTTATGTTTTTTAAACCGGGGATGGAACTCGGGTCCTTGCACTTGTGCAGCAGGTGGCAAAACCACTGAGCTAAATCCCCGGCTCCCAGATCAGTCAATTTAATGAGACCCTTTCTAGAAAGAAAGAAAGAGGAAAGAAAGAAAGAAAAAGAAAGGAAGGAAGGAAGGAAGGGAAAGAAAGAAAAAAGAAAGAGAAAGAAAGAAAGAAAAAGAAAGAAAGAAGAAAGAAAGAAAGAAATGAAGGAAGGAGGAAGGAAAGAAAGAAAGAGAAAGAAACAAGAAAGAAAGGGAGAGAGAAAGAAAAAGTATTACTGTGGATTTGGTCACAAAAGGTTGCAAGCCCCTGAGCTAGAAGATGAACTTTAGCACAGCAAGGGTTTCAGTTGGTTTGTTTAAAACAGTACCTGGCATTTTTGAGTGTTCCACAAACAAGTGTTGAATGGGTGAATTTTTAACACTACACCTGCTTTGAAGAATATTAGAGTCAGAAATAGAAGAAAAAGGTAAATATCATAGGGTTTACATTACTAATGTCATCTTGAACCAAACCAATAATGCAATTGGGCACAGTGGTACCTGCCTGTAACCCCAGCAACACAGGGCAGTGAGGTAGGAGGGGCCCGAGTTTGACATTAGTTTGGACAATTTAGTGAGACCTTGTTTCAAAATAGAAAGGAGGCAGGAGCACACCTTAGCAGGAGGCCAAGTCTCCATCCTCTTACTGAAAAAGAAAAACAAAACACGAATATGTTGAAAGAAGAAAAATCACTTTAAAAAACTTTCCAACACATTCTTGGAAATCAGACATTTTAGTCATGTGAGGCAGCATGCATTAATAAGAAAAACACAAAACGAAACAAAAACACTGACCTGGGAATAGGGTGCCAGAACATAAAATTTGATTCTATAACCTGTTTGTTAACCGTGTGACTTGAAGTAGATCTCTTCTGATCAATTCTGTAATTTGCAAAACAGGAATGCCTGAACAAGCCTTGCTGCCACACGGGGCTACTCTGAAGACCAGATGGGACTCTGCATTTCAGCGTGCTCTGTAAACTATGATACAGCACCGGAGACAGAAGGGAACACAGAGCTGAAGCAAGTGTGGGTCTTTTTCCGTGGTTTACTAAATCAATCAGCAAATATTTACCAAGATTCTAAAGTTTACTGAGGGCTTTTCTCTCCCAAGCTCCTCCCACCCCCATACTGTGGATGAACCTGGGCTCATGCTCCCCCTGAACTACATCCCCAGTCCTTTTTATTTTTGAGACAGGATTTCCCTAAATTGCCCAGACTGGTCTGGAATTTGCAATCCTCCTGCCTCAGCCTTCCTCAGTGCTGGGATTAAGGTGTGCATCACCAACTCTGGCCAGAGCGCTTCATTCTTAATATGCTTTCCCACCTACAATATACAGTGTACAATATACAGTGTAAACTCCAAACTGTTGGGCTTGTTTTGTTTTGTTGACCAGGGTCTTGCTATGTAGCTCAGGGTGCCCTCGAATTTTAAGGGATCCTCCTGCCTCAGTGCTGGGGTTACAGGCGTGCACCACCACTCCTAGTTAGTTTTGCTTTAACTTCATCTCCATATTTGTGGGTACCAGTGTTGTTTGTACCAAGTGCTTTACCACTGAGCCACACCCCTAGCCCTTTTTATTTATTTATTTATTTATTTATTTATTTAAGAAGAAAAGACTTTTATTATAGTACAGGGGTTGGGATGGATGGCAAGGTGTAGATGTAGTAGGCAACCACTGCCTTGGTTAGCATCTTATGCCCATTCCGAAGGCCATCAATGTGCCAAAGGTGCCGCCACTCTGCGTCATGGTTTTCCCAACGCCGCCCATCAGCTCCCGACCCCGCGTTCCGATCCTCAGACAGGAAAAGGTGACCGAGAGCGCCCCAGCCGCCATGCCTACGGCGCAACCCATCACAAAACCCATCTTCACGCGGTCGAAGCAGCTTGGCTGCACTGTCCATAGTGACCCACGGCCACCGGCATCTTGCTCGCGGTCTCTGTAGTTCAGCTCTACGTCTCATTATTTTTTATCTTGAGACAGAGTCTTGCTGTGTTACCTAGGCTGAAACTTAAGATTTTTCTGCCTCAGCCTTCCAAGTAGCTGCGGTTACAGGTGTGCACCACCTGGCTTCAGCAAGTATTATTGAATGAAGAAAAGGAAAAAACCTAATTGCTGCTGTTAAGGAAGCCATCTTTAACTATAGGGATAATTAAGAGGTGAAGTGAAGAGATAAAAGATGTGTACACACACTGGCACCCACGCAGGTGCGAAAGAAAGGGCAGGGTCACACACACTCGAGAATTATGTCAGCTTTAGTGCCAGCTGTTGTGAATGGCACAGCAAAGCACAATCCCTTCCTTTACGTGACAGCCTGTCACTGGAACATAAGTCTCTTTCAGGAAAAGATAGATATGAGCCGGAGTGGCAGAGTAAATCTTTAAGGAGCCGAAGCTTAAATTGGACTTGGTAAGAGAAGAGGGCGAGGTACCAAGGTTTGGAGAGCATATTTTCGGTAGTCTGGAAATTTTGCAAAAATTTACTTCTCTCGTGGAAAGATTGTCAAGGTGAGCTGACCTTGAGTTTATGAGTGTCGGTGGGAAAAGGTTTCGGGGGAATGATTTCATCATTCTGCCTCCAAGAGTCCAACAGAAAAAGACCTGTCTTGAGATAATCCCTATCTGTACGCACTGTTTGGTTTTCCCCCAGTTGAGGGACAGCGGTGGGGGTTGGAGGACAAGGGCAAGTGGGCGGGGCCAACACAAGTGGGCAGGACCACGCGGGCCCTCCTTGCCGCCGGAGGCCGGACGAAGGGGCGGGGTTTCCGGTGGCAGCCACACACAGGCTTCGGATGACGCGAGATGGGGGATCGTCACGTGACACGGAAGTGACTCCGAACAGGAAGAGGACGAAAAAAATAACCGTCCGCGACGCCGAGTCGAACGGGACCCGCAGACACCATGAACAGCAAAGGTAAGGACAGGGGCCGGCTGAGGCCATCGGGGGAGTGGTGCTGGCCCTGGGCGAATGGGTTCGGAGCCCAGGGTGACCCCGCACCACGTTTGGCATCGGCTGCGCCGCGCCCCTCGGTCAGCCGGTGTGGGGGGTGCACCTGACGTCCTCGGCATCTCTTAACTACGGCTGCTCACTCCCTCCAGGCCCTTTCCCTCTTAAACTCTGTGGCGCAGTTCGGAGCTGGAAGGTTGGGGGTGGGGGTGGGGGAGCTTGTCATGATGGGCATCTGCGGGAGCAAATGGGGGACTAGAGTAGGGATTTGGGTGGGCCAATGGAGAGTCGGCAGAGGTGGGGCGCCGCGCTCCAGAACAACAGGCCCGGCGGAGTTTAACTAGTGACGTGCCGGCCTCCGTTGGCGGGTTGGGGCCTGCAAGGTTCTTTCTCCCTTCCCTTCACGCTCCTCGCTCTTCCCGGGCGGAGCTCGAACTTCTCCCCGTTCTTGTGATTGCCCCAGTGTAGGATACTCTTATCCTTTCCCAGGGCTGATGGTTTACTCCCCAATCTCACATTCTGTTGGGAAGTCGACCTTGAATAAGAAACCGCGAGGTAAATAATCAGAATCACCGTTAGCCACAGTCAGGGTTGGTGACAGCTTGGCCTGTGGAGACTACCCGAAGCGGAAGCACCCGGCATACATCAGCAGTTCAGAACCACAGAAACAAGTCCCCAGACCTGTCTTACATTTCAGAGGGAATCTGGGCCCAGCTAGACTTCCCCTTACAATATACCAGTGGAAACAGTGCCTTTCCTACCCAGTCAGAACCCAGCACCTTCCATTATAAGGATACAAGAACAATGCTTATTAGCTCCAAAAAACAGCCCTCCAGGGCTGATTGCAAATCTGCTCACTCACCAAGTTAGCTGCCCAAATGAACTGCCCATTTTGGTGGCTCTATAGTAGCCAACCTGAATTTTTTGTCTTCCAGGTCAATATCCAACGCAGCCAACCTATCCTGTGCAGCCTCCTGGGAATCCAGTCTATCCTCAGACCTTGCATCTTCCTCAGGCTCCACCCTATACTGATGCTCCGCCTGCCTACTCAGAGGTGCTGTCTCTTTGCCAAACTTGGGAACTAGTTGAGAATATTCGTGGACCACATTTTAAGTCCTTAGCTAACTCTAACTTCACAAACAGAAAAGTGATCAGAGGAATAATCTACAACATGTAATCAAGCAGTTTGTTGGTCTTGAGAATACATTATCTGATTATTTTTTGGCACAGGCTGAGGTTAAGATGAGTTTCTGTGCCTTGAGCCTGATGTTAGCTCTAGCAGGAAATGATCTAGGAGAATACTGCATGCCAGTGGAAAGGCAACTTGTATAACTCTCAAAAAATATAATCTGCAGGGCCGGGGATTTAGCTCAGTGGTTCCAGTGCCTGCCTCTTAAGTGCAAGGTCCTGAGTTTGATCCCCGGTACCAATAATCATCATCATCATCATCATCATCATCTGCACAAGGAGAATTAAGAATTGACTCAGCCTGGCCCTGGTGGTACATACCTGTAATCTCAGCCACTTAGGAGGCAGAGGCAGGAGGCTCACAAGTTGAGACTGACCTGAGAAACTTAGACTCTTATCTCAAAATAATGTAAAAAAATTTTTTTTTTAAAGAATGTAGTTCAGTGGTTGACTGCTTATGTAGCATGTGTGAGGTCCTAGTTTTCAATCCCCAGCAGCAACCAGAAAAAGGTTGACTCATTAAAGAGATTTCAAGTAGGAAATAAAATAACATAAAGTAACATTTTGCCTTCTCTTCTGCCTTTTCAGCTCTATCGTCCAAGCTTTGTGCACCCAGGGGCTGCCACAGTCCCTAGCATGTCAGCTGCATTTCCTGGCACCTCTCTGTATCTTCCCATGGCCCAGTCTGTGGCTGTTGGGCCCTTAGGTTCCACAATCCCCATGGCTTATTATCCAGTTGGTCCCATCTACCCGCCTGGTTCAACAGTGCTGGTGGAAGGAGGGTATGATGCAGGTGCCAGATTTGGAGCTGGGGCTACTGCTGGCAACATTCCTGTAAGTATGACCTCAGAAGAAACTCAGCCCTTGCGTTTTCTTTTGGGTACTGGGGATCGAACTCAGGACCTTGTGCTTTTGAGGCAGGCGGCGGAAACACTGAGCTAAATCTCTGGCCCAGCCCTTGTGTGTTTTAACTTTCTGAAATGACTTTATTTTCATTCTCCCATCACTCTTAGAAAATAGTTGCCAATTTTGGTACAACTGCCATCTGATAAGCAGAAAGTGACTGAGGGTACAGGAGAACTGTGGTGCGTGTATAGTCCTAGCACATCTGGGATCTGAGTTAACCAGATTGCTTTGTTTTCCTGTCAGGGTTCTGCTTATTGCTTTTCCAGTTCATTTTGATACAGTGAACTGGTCTAGTAATGTTCCTTATTCATTCTGTAAACATTTACTTAGTATTTCATCAGCATGGTATTGTATTAGGATCCCAAATGATTAAAACCAAAATCATAATCCATTGTACTTAGCTTTTTACTTATCATTGCCCTCTACTTAGTTCTCCAATGCATGGGAGTTAAGAGTTCACATGGTCGGGCCGGGGATTTAGCTCAGTGGTTTAGCCGCCTGCTGCACAAGCGTGAGGACCAAAGTTCGATCCCCGGTACCAAAAAAAAAAAAGAGTTCACATGGTCTTTGCTAAGGCCATCTACTCAGGAACCACACACTAGAGATGGAAGTGGGGGTGGTGTCATTAGTGAGCTTTAGGTAACTCAGTGGGCAAACAGTATCCAGAGGGCTGGGATGTAGCTCAGGGGCAGAGTATGTTTAACATGTGCAAAGTTTCCCTCCCAAAATGAAACACCAGATTACCTAGGGATCCTCTGGGATTTGGCCATGGACCTGGCATCTAGTCCCTATTTAGGGAGTGTGAGTGGGAATTGTTTTCTGTTCTGAAAATGGGTTTGTATCCATGCATAGGCTTTATCTTGGAGCTAGCAGCTTTTGACTGAGTGATAGGTTACCTTTCTTGTTTGTGTTTTGGGTTCATAGGGAAAACAGACGTGGCACAAAACCAGCTCCTTCAAATGTGTTGGTTACACAATGCCATCTTCCTAAGAGCATCTGCTTCACCTCTGTTCCCTTCCCTTGTATCAGCTGCCTTGTGCCCATTCCACCTTGTCCTTTTCTTCTAGCCTCCGCCTCCTGGATGCCCTCCCAATGCTGCTCAGCTTGCAGTCATGCAGGGAGCCAATGTCCTCGTAACTCAGCGGAAGGGGAACTTCTTCATGGGTGGCTCAGATGGTGGTTACACCATCTGGTGAGGAACCAATGCCGCCTCTGTGCCGGGAAAGACATCACATACCTTCAGCACTTCTCACAATGTAACTGCTTTAGTCATATTAACCTGAAATTGCAGTTTAGACACATGTTGTTGGGGTGTCTTTCTGGTGCCCAAACTTCAGGCACTTTTCAAATTTAATAAGGAACCATATAATGGTAGCAGTACCTCCCTAAAGCATTTTGAGGTAGGGGAGGTATCCATTCATAAAATGAATATGGGTGAACAGCCCTAAGGATCTTCCTTTAATTCCTCCGGAGTAATACTGTACCATACTGGTCTTTGCTTTTAGTAATAAAACATCAAATTAGGTTTGGAGGGAACTTTGATCTTCCTAAGAATTGAAGTTGCCAAATTATTGATTCGTCTTTAATCTTGCAATCTCTGATTTATATTACTTGTTAAATGAAATGCATTATCTGTCTGCCTTTTTCTTTTCATCCTTTGCCTCATATGCTGTCTCCAACTTGTCTTCCATTCCCTCCTGCCAATCTCCATTGAATCAGTGGTGCAGGACAGAAAGCCAGTCAGACTCATTTCCTTCTCTCCTTGCACTTCTCCCCACCTGACATCTTTTAACTTACTTGTCTTTCATAAGGATCCTCTGAAATTTCCATGTGCCCCAAGCACAGGCCCTGTTATGCCTGCTTTTATCTCCTCAGGCAAAAGTAGAGGGTGCCTTTTGGATCCACCTCAGAGGTTGTCTCTGCGTACACAAACCTAACCCAAATTTGCTTTGGTGCCAGAAAAACTGAGCTTCGTTATAACAATGTCAGTGCAAAATGTCCCATAAAAAAGTTTGTTCAAATTATGAGGGGCAAGGAAGAGGATGCATTTCAAAAGCTTGACTTCAGAACCAAATTAAGGGCAGTTTTCAGATCAGAAACAGGTTACCATTTTTTTTTTTTTTTTGGACAGAGTGTCTGATGTAGCCACTCATGGCTCCCAAGAATTCCTAAACTGGGTGATAGGGTCACCTGGTGAATGCTTCCCTATAAAATGACTTGAGTCCAGTGGAATCTCATTCGGGTTAATATTTCAGGGATCCTTAATATTTTGATTTTTGTTTTCTGAAATTGGATTTTATCTTATAATTTCAGTTCATCTAAATTTTATGTTCTGTACATGTGATGTTTGACTGTACCATTGACTGTTATGGAAGTTAAGCGTTGTATGTCTCTCTCTACACTGTGGTGCACTTAACTTGTGGATTTTTTATACTAAAAATGTAGAATAAAGACTATTTTGAAGATTTGAATAAAGTGATGAAGTTGCATTACACCTCACTCCAAGGATTCTTTACTTAGCTTGTTTCTAGATTGCTTTTCCTTTTATCTTTGTTTATAACCCATCTAGAACTCAGCTAGGTGTTACTGTTCTTCTGTTTTCTTTAATGAAGGCTTTGAAATAAATGCAGGAGTACAAGGCCAAGATTGACTATTTTCATGAGTTCCACTTTAGATGCAACACATTTCTTCACTTTACTACCTAAACTCAGATTGTGGAATTCAGAATTTAAAATTTAGAAATAAGGAAACAGTTGTTTCCCTTCACTTGCTCTAAAGTTTGCATTGAGAAATACTATAGCAACCTGTATACATCTGGGGAGGCCTTCAGTTAGTTTCTCCAAAGTTCTGTGGGGAGAAATTCTGAAAATTCTTAGAATTCTTCAGCTCTTGGATTTTACCTTGGGTGGGCTTGAGCTGGGACAATGGAGGCAATACATTAAGACCTCAAAGGAAGACTAGCTTAGTTCCAAGGTAAACAATGTCTGAGGAACTAACAGTTTATACTAAAGTATTGGGCCTTTTAAACATACCTCCCTTTGAAACTAAGTTAAACCCTAGGCACTTCTTAGATGGATTCTGAGGACATTGGTGGGGAAGGCAGACTTGTCCGGGGCTCCCTCTGTGCACACATAGGGGATCTGGGAAATTTTGGCCCTCGCTAGGATGGAGTCTGAACCAACTCATCTCCCAGGATGTTTCTAATGAGGCTCTTTGAGGGGCAGCTTCCTGACCCAGCTTTGACTCAAACTGCTGAGACAGTTCTGGGAACTAATGGAGCTTCCCTAGGCTCTTACTGCTTGGGAGAGAACATAGGCAAAGGAGTTAAATTAACAAAATGTCAAAATTTAAGCAAAATAAGTCGAAATGTAAGGGTAGTTCTTGCACATGAAAATCTGACTTCTATATCAATGAAAAAGTTTAATTTGTGTTAATAAGTGTGAGGTTGGGAAATATGGGAAGGAAGGGCTCAGATTAAGGAGTATAGCACATTTATCAAGGAGGCAAGATCCCAGAGTCTCCTATCACTTGGGCCTGGTCTTTTATTGTGGTATCTAGTCTCTGGGAAGAACTATGGATATTTCCTTCTGGGCCTATAACTGGGTGACCACAAAGGGGACAGCGTGGAGCAGGAGCCAGTGATCCTCATTCTTTTTCCCAAAGAGGCACACACTCAAGTGTTCCCTGGTATAGTCACACCTCGTTAGCTAGTTACAGACCCCAGTTCTTTTCCAAAGGCCTACAGACATCATAAGCAGTGCCTGGAATCACTGATGCTGGCATTTGGGCCTGGGTCCTGGGAGGAGCTTGGATCTGCCCACTTCAATCAATGTCACTCACTGGCCTCAGACAAAACTTTTAGCTAATAAATTAAACAGTCACTGTGTTAGCACTGGAGCCAGGACTTAGCTCCTTGGGGCCTGGCAATCAGATGAAATACTCCTCCTTCTCTCTGCCCTTGGCTGAATCACTCTCCATCTGAAGGATGGCGCTGGGCTCGTCTTCTGGAGGCTCATAGGTGACGTAGCTGCCTTTGTTCTTGTACAGGTAAAAGAAGATCAAGATCACAACTGAGAGCAGGGTGAGGAAGACCACGGTGATAACAACTTAGAAAGGAAAGGGAAAATGGAGACATTTCAGGATCGAGGACATCTCAGGAATTCACTGGGTCACCTGAATCAGACAATTTACTTACTCTTCAAAAGGATCCTCTTGTTCTAATTAGCATCTACTGCCAAATTGTGTTCTCCCACCAAACCCAGCTTCCATTCCAGGCACATGGTATCTGGTCTCCTGGGGTTATGCTAAGGGCATGCTGCTTTTGGGTTTTGTTGTTGTTTTTGGTACCGGGATCAAACTCCGGTCCTTGCGTTGCAAGGCAGGCAGCTGAACCACTGAGCTAAATCCCTGGCCCTAGGACATGCTTTTGATTTCTGACAGACAACACCCTCCCAAACAATTTCCTGACAATTAGGATAGGAAATAATAAACAGCTTATCCCAACGGGAAGGGTGTTTTTAAATCCATAGCTTCCTGTAGCAGTTTCTCTCATCCTTGCCCTCTTCCTTACCATTCAACAAACCACATATGTCCTCGTCCCTACCCACATGTGAGTGTGGTGGCCATATGCACCAGTACCTATTTGTGGTCACTTCCCAACCTATCGTTTACTGGCAGTGCAGAGGCCGAGTCTTTTAGAGCAGTGCATGTGCATGTGCAGAATGTATGTGCCAGAGTGAGCCCATGAATGGACTTGGTTTCTGATGTGATTTTCCTACGGGGGCGGGGGGGTGTCTTAGTTTATCAGACTGGGTTCCAGATGTCTCTGGAGCAAGATAGCTTCTGTTTTGTTTTGGTTTTTTTTGGTACTGGAGATCTAACTCCGGTCCTTGCGCTTTCCAGGCAGGCAACAGAACCACTGAGCTAAATCCCCGGCCCATGGAGCAAGATAGCTTCTAATCCTGGAGGGTCCCTCGGATGTGGCTCAGAGTCCTCATTACCTGCAATGAGTGCTGTGCTGGCTTCTTCAGCTTCTGGGGACAGGGCCTCAGTGGCCTGCAGAAGTGGGGTAGTCATCATCTCACCTGGAAAGTTCAGAAAAGTGGAAAAGAAAATGGAGATGAATTCTTTTGTCCTAAAGCATAGCTCTGTCCTTCAAATTTCATCACCTCATCTTCCTCCCTATTCAAAAGTTTAACGTTCAGTTCCTACAGAATATCCAAGAATATCCTGGAAAACAGAGGAGAAAAAGTACTTTCCAAAGACAATGAGTACTTTGTTGGATTTCTCTACACCTAATATAGCAGCTAAGAGTATGAGAGGTTTTGAGACCCAGCTGCAACGGCCCCTGCCTGTACTTCCAGCTACTTGTGAGGATGGTAGGGGGAGATCTCAAGTTCAGGCCAGCCTTGGTAACTTAGACACTCTCAAAATGAAGAACAGAAAAGGGGTGGGACTGCAGTTCAGTGGTGGTGCCTCCCACCCTCACTCCCTCAAAAAAATAAGAGGATGGCTTTTAAGCCTGACTGACTGGGTTTCATATGTGAGCCCTGTCCTTTACTAACTATGAACTCTGGAAATTACCAGACTCCTCTAAGTATCAGTTATGTCATCCTCAAAAAGATAATGGTACCTACTTTAAAAAAAATAGTACCTACTTTACAAGGATGGTTGCAACATAGTAACACAGGATAAGCCATTAGGAATGCATATTTTTACACAAATGAAATAAAATGATGAGTGTGTATAATTACATGTATATATATATATATATATATATATTTTTTTTTGGGGGGGATCAAACTCAAGACCTTGCGCCTGGGAGGCACGGGGCAGCACCACTGAGCTAAATCCCCTGCCCAATTACATGTATATTTATATCATCTAGCAGGTACATTTACTTCAGTGTTCTTACTCCTTATAAACATTATTTTTAAATAATGAAATAATGTTCCTCCCCTTTCAAAAGTCCTTTTCTATACTTCCAAGATAGACTCTACACTTTGAAAAGCTTAGAAATGAGGACTCTCCTACTCTAAAATATATTCTGCACCCTTTCCTGTATGGGTTTATCTATTCTTCAGAATAAGTGACCCCACAGGAAGTTAGGACACCCTTAATTCTTTAATTAGCATTTTAATGTAAGGTTGAAAAAGTAACTTTTTTTGGTTTTTTGAGACAGGGTCTTACTATGTAGTTCAGGTTGACCTTGATTTCACTGTGTAGCCCAGGCAGGCCTCAAACTCATGGCAATCCTCCTGCCTCAGCCTCCCAAGTGCTGGGATTACAGGCATGTGCCACTACGTCCAGCTCCTGAAAAAGTAACAATTAAGTAGAGACTACTACTGGTTAGAGGAATCTCTGGGAAGACAGGCTGGGTGACCTTGGAATCACTCTCAATGTTCATTCAGTAAATACCAGTAGCAGCACTCACAGGCCTGTGCTTTACCAGCCACTGTGCTGGACATACTGGGACAGAACAGGGAGCAAAGCAGACAGATCCAGCTTCATGGAGCTTGCCCTCCACCACACCCATGGCTCAGCAGTTCTGAGCTATAGAGAGCGACAAAGGAATAATCTCATCTTCCAGCCAGGAGGAACTTGCCAAGGAAATAATACTTGAACTGGGAGCTGAAGCAGGGGTAGGAGTGACAAGGATGGAGAAAATTCTAAGCAGAGAAGAGTGTGGGTCAAAGCTCAAAGGCTGGGCCGGGGATTTAGCTCAGTGGTTTCGCCGCCTGCTGTGCAAGCGCAAGGACTCAAGTTTGATCCCCAGTACCAAAAAAGACAATAAAAAGAATGATGGGATAAAGCTCAAAGGCTGGTGAGGCTGTCACCCAGAGTGTAAGCATGTGGCCTATTAGCTTTCCATCCAGGTAAGGGAAACTGTGTCAACAGCAGTAGTCTTTTTAAAAAATTTTTTCGGTACTGGGGATCAAACTTAGGATCTTGCACTTGTGAGGCAGACGCAGTACCACTGAGCTAAATCCCCAGCCCTTCCTCAGCAGTAGTCTTGTGAGCCTTTGCTGACAGGGGCCAATGGTGCTGAGCAGACTTTTCACACAGACCAAAGGGATCCACATGAACTGTCCTGGTCCTGTAAGAGAGAAAGCCAAGGCGGCCTCGGAGGTGCTTCCCTTCCCAAGACCAGGATGAACCTTTGTCCACTCTCTTTAGGAATGGTTGTGTACCTAGCCATTTTTTGGTCTTCATCTGTTATCCATGGGGCCTATACTAACCAACTTTGCAAGGTCATGTACATGTATTAAATGAGAGAATATCTGAGTACGATGCAGTAGGTACTATGTAAAGTATCATTTAAGGTGACTATTTATATGCTTAGCGATTAAAAGGCAAAGTATGAATCCTGCCCCAGCACATTACTACCTCAAGGTTGACTGTGAGGAAGTCATAAACGCTCTCTAAACCCTGGGTTTTTGATCTGAAAATGGGAGTGCGGTAGGCAGCTTCTCTGATGGCTTGTAGTGATCCTCACCATCTGGTTCTGACACCCTCATGTCTGGACTCTCCTGGTGTGGGGACTGGACTCAGTGACTTGCTTCTAACAAACAGACTTTGCCAAAAGTGATGGGATGTCACCTCCAAGATGCGATTATACAACACTGTGACTTCCATCAAAGAGGAGCCCTGAATCTTTCCACCTGCTCATTATCTCAGACTACTGTTTCTCACCAAGGCATACTTTGCTTCCCCAAATCTCCTGGATCCAGATGTGATTGCGCATGCCTATAATCCCAGCCTTTCGGAAGGCTAGGCAGAAGGATTGTAGGCTCAAGCCCAGCCTGGGCAATTCAGTGACTTAGACCCGGTGCCAAAATAAAAAAGCTCAGTGCAAAAGCCCTAAATTCAATCCCTGGAAAAGAAAAAACAAAACAAAACAATCTTCTGGGCCTGGCCCCCATCTTACCACCATTGAGTCACAGTTTTATTTATTTTTATTTATTTATTTTTTGAGACAGGGTCTTGCTATGTACTTCAGGCTGGCCTTGAACTCACTATGCAGCCAAGGCTGGCCTTGAACTCACAGTGATCCTCTTGCCTCAGCCTTCCAAGTGCTTAGAGTATAGGCATGCACTACCATCCTGGCAGATCCAGACTTTTATATGGATGCTCCTAGTTTTGCCTTCCTTAAACATTTGAGAATTTAAGCTATACAAAGCACTGAAAAGATTAATGCATGCCAAAAGCTTAAATATAAAGATGAATAATGTCAGCTCAATTAATCAACAACAATATACTTTGCAACCATCATGCACCAGGCACACTGACTTCTTAGATGTGAGGGACCTCTGTGATGAGGTAAAACAGCAATCTGAGGGCCAGAGATTTAGCTCAGTGGTTCCACCGCCTGCCTTGCAAGCTAAGGACCCGAGTTCAATCCCCGGTACCAAAAACAAAACAAAACAAAACAGCAATCTGATCATGGAGCTGAATTTTAGTGTGTGTCAGGATGCAGATACACAGGAGTCACAGAAAGAGAATCTGGGAGGGAAGATGATTCCTGGTTGGGAAGTTCCGCAAATGACCTCAAGTATAACAGCTGCCATTTAATAAGCCTCTGACTTGTACCAGATGTTTTATATACATCATTATTCATCTTTACAACACCAAAAAAAAAAAAAAATCTTTACAACACCAATTACTTCAAAGTGAGGGATTTAGCTCAGTGGTGCCAGGCCTGCCTGGCAAGCCCAAGGTCCTGAGTTTGATTCCCGGTACCAGGGGGAAAAACCAAACCAAACAAAAACAAAGTGAGGATTTTTTTCTTGCTGATGTGGACCCTGAAACTCAAGGAGAGTAAGTGAAATGACTCATATTACACATGAAGTTAATAGTGGACAGGCCAAGATATGAATCCAGGACTACCTGCTCCAAAGCCCAAGCAAGGAATTTATATGGTAGTAAACCTGCCTACCACTGTCCTTTTTTCAATAAGGAAAAAGGGGAAGAGCTAATAAAAGATAACCATGAGGAAGCACAGCAAGCTTTTCAAGAAGTTCAAGAGTTGTTGGGCTTGCTGGAAAAGACCTATAATCCCAGCTACTCAGGAAGTTGAGGCAGAAGGATCACATGTTTGAGGCTAGACCGGACAACCTAGCAAAGCCTTGTCTGAAAATCAAAAACAAAAACAAAAACCTTAAAAAGTGCTGGGAATGTAGCTTAGTGATAGAGTGCTTACCTGGCGCACACAAGGTTCTGGGAGCAATCCCCAGTACCACAAAAACAAAACAAAAAAACAAAGTTCAAGGGCTTAAAAGGTATATTCAAAGGGCCAGGGATTTAGCTCAGCAGTGCCACACCTGCCTCACAAGCGCAAGGTCCTGAGTTTGATCCCCAGTACCGGGGGGTAGGGGTGGGGGGTGGATTCAAGTGGAAGAAAATCCAGGTGACCACAATCAAATGAAGACAAGGAATGCTCCTTTAATGTGAACTTGCTCATGGGCCACTGGTCCAAGGGGGGAAGGACATCAATATAAGTCAATGTCAGTTCATACAAAACTTCACGGTTTTAATCCGTGATGTGATTAGAGGCACATCTTCTTCTCACAACTAGAGAACAGCAGCAATACAGGAAAATCTTAAGAAAGTTCAATAGAATGTTTTCTTTGGATGCAGTTATTGGTTGGTTTCACTTAAACCATCTGGTGACGCAACAAGTACAGATGACAAAAGTGCAAAGAAATTGACCTCAGTATTAAAGCAATGGATGAAGGAAGAAGATAGATCCTACCTCAGATTTAAATTTTTTTTTTTTTGTACCAGGGATCGAACTCGGGTCCTTGTGCTTGGGAGGCAGGCAGTGGAACCACTGAGCTAAATCCCCAGCCCCTGAGATTTTAAATTTTGATGAAGATGGTCTCTATTAGAAGTGAAGGGTCACTGGAATTTATACCTAAAAGGAGGAAGCACATACCCCAGCATAAAACTGCAAAGGATTTGGATTCAAGGTTCAAATGTTAGTGGAGATTTAATTCTGCCAATATTTTTATTAAGGTTGTTACCGCATTATTAGGAGTTCCAGTTACAAAGCTCCGCAAGTGCTGTATGGTCTGCTCCAATCTTG